GGGCGCAGCTGCTGCTGCTTTTGCAGATCCCGGTGGCCACGGCAGCAGCGACTGGGGCCCTCCAGGCACCTTCTCTGCAGGCCAGGCCAGGCCGGGGTTTGTGGGACTCGGGGTTAAATGACTCATCTTTCCCCTCAGCAGGGGCCCGCCCACACCAGGGCCCCCCCTGCCTGCCAGTCTGCTCCCAGCCAGCCCCGTGACCAGCCCCTGCCCAGTTCAATGTGGACTCCACTCTCCAGCCCAAAAAGCGGCCGGACTCCCCGTGCGCAGCGCCGGATGGAGAGACCCGGGGGGTGCAGTCCTGGGGCCATGGGCGCAGGATGCTGGGGAGCACCACGGAACGGGGTCTCCAGCGTGCTGGGGGGAGGCAGCCGCCCCTGTGCCGGCAGGGCCCTGGTATCTACTCTGGGCTTTCCCCTCTCCTGGCTTTGGGTCGTTTTGATTTCTGATTTAGCCGACCGAGGTTCCCCGGAAGGGGAGGGAGAGGAGCATAGACAGTGACGGCGCTGCCCTGTCCTCGCACGCCGGCCCCTCGCGTTCCCCCGGCCGGCCAGGGACCCTGCCCTGCCTTCGCTTTGCCCTCTGAGCAGACACGCGTGGCCTCTGCAGCCTTTCTGCTAACGCCCTGGTCGCCTTTCGTGGTTTTTTCCAGAATCGACACAAAAGCGACAATCACGTCAATAACCGTCCCGTCCAGGTGCTGGTCAATGGCAGGTAAGTCTCGGTTCTTCGCTGAAGGTTTGTCTGTGGGGGGCACTTCTGCACAAGATGGAAAATCCCGACAGATGCAGCAATGTGACAACTCAAGTTCTGTGCTTTGTGGAAGTAGAACGGAGGCAGCCGCAGTTGTGTTGCTGTGTTACCGTACGGGATCCCACAGCGTGTTAGGTGCTTTACTCAAGGGGGTTTCACATCCCCAGCGCCCAGGACTGCAGGTCTCTGCCCAAGGACCCCAGGGCTTGGACTGGGGGCAGAAGAGAAGGGAGAGGCCGTGTCTGGACAGACACGGCCCAGAATGACGCGCGCCCTGCTGAGCCGGGGCCCAAGGGCTCCACGCTCTGCCCCTACGAACGGGAACCTTCTCTTGCAGGTTGAAGGCCGACAAGTGGATGAACATCCAGGTGGGCGACGTCATCAAACTGGAGAACAACAACTTTGTGACGGTGAGTGCGAGAAGAGAAGGGAGAGGCCGTGTCTGGACAGACACGGCCCAGAATGACGCGCGCCCTGCTGAGCCGGGGCCCAAGGGCTCCACGCTCTGCCCCTACGAACGGGAACCTTCTCTTGCAGGTTGAAGGCCGACAAGTGGATGAACATCCAGGTGGGCGACGTCATCAAACTGGAGAACAACAACTTTGTGACGGTGAGTGCGCTTGGTGCAGCCTGCCCCGGGCTCCTCTCGCGAGTCGGCCAGTCTGGCGGGAACGTGCTCGGAGCTTTGCATCCTGCGGCGTGTGGCCGGGTGCTCCGTGCTGGGCACAGGGGATGGCGCGGGGGCGGCTGTTGTGTCCACGAGCTCACACCGCCCCGGTTCTGTTTGTGCCCAGGCCGATCTGCTGTTGCTCTCCAGCAGCGAGCCGCACAGCCTGACGTACATCGAGACGGCGGAGCTGGACGGGTGAGTGAGCCCGGCCCCGGGGCTGCAGGTGAATCGTGAGGCCGGCGGGCCCGGTTGTTTCCGTGTTCTCCGCGCTGCCTCGGCCACCGATGTTCCTTTAGCTCCGCCTCCAGCATGCACGGCTCCCGCGTCTGCCCCGAGGGCACTGA